AAGTATAAATCATAAGAGCCAGTCGACTGAAGTACCTGAAATTAAGTTGAGTCGATCAGTCAGTCAGAGGAGTTAAAGGAAAGAGTCAAGCGAATTCGTTCTAGAATGGAATAGAGACTATCGAAGACTGGAAGGGACAGTACGAGAGTCTCTGGTCTCTTTCGTTGATCGCGATGCTCCCCACCTAGTTTCCCGAGCCATAAACGGTGACCCAGTACAATTAAGAAATGAAGGACAAACAAAAATAAATACTGAAATATCTCTGCACCTTTCTCCATTTCCGAGTAACCGTCCCTCTGGACAACAACAGCTATTGACCAATTTGACTGTATTCAACAAATTTGCATAAGAAGCCCACAATAGGTTATTCGGGTTCAGGGCTTCGGCTAATTTAAGAATCGCGTTTCGAAACTTTCGAAGGATAGAAAGATGAGATTTGATGTGAAAACACCTTAGCGGTTCTGGATTCGAAAGGAAAATAACAGGAAAAGGATTGAGATCTGGAGAAGCTGCACATAATGACAGGAAATCACGCTGTGATCCTGGAAGGCCCGAATTGACCGCTTCATGTAGTTCAGCAGTTTTCAAATCTTATTACAAACCTACTTGAACTATCGTATTCATGTTAGATTACTTGGTTTGCAAATTATCAGCTATAAAAGTTTCGTTTTCAATCAGTGCTTACGGAGGAAGAAGATAAAACAGACTTGTCTGCCTTGAGCATAATACCTCTCTGTGTGTGATACAAACCATTAAATTACAGTGCATAAATCAATTATGAATTAACTCACCCCACGAAAGTCGACCCCACGCCTCGTGACGCGGATAAAAAGATCTTTTTCCTTTTTATTCGTTTCGCGTTGCTGAAAACAGTCGTAAATAGAAGTGCTGTGATCTAAAACCTATGGAGCTCCTGACGGTAATATGCAACTTCCATCTGCTGGTACATATTCTTGTTCGGGGAGTATGTAAGTATCTTTATTTGTGAAGCGAATGCGAATACTTACTGTGAGACCCTATTCACACGCCAAACTTTCAGACTGACACAAATTCAAATTGTTCGTCCTTTGAATCAGACACCAACCTTGATAAGCCGTTATATAGCCGCTTCCCATACGTTTCGAAGAAAACCAGATCAAATATCAAACATTTGTGCATTTGTTTAGGCATCAACGGAGCGTTAAGTGTGGACAATTAATCGTAGCCTTCGTTTCTTGGATAAAAGACTAACTTTTGGGCGGCCTCAAACGAAAATTCACTCGTTTCATTTTTCGTACCTAAATTTGTCGCTCTGCGATGACTGATTAAAAAGAAATATACGCTTTGTCTTCTAACTTTGGTTTATGGATCCATCTCATCGCTCTGAAGTTTGCCGATAAGGGATTGTATATGCTACTGGTAGATATTTAGAAATTATAACCTTTTTAGCGTCCATATCGATATATTGTGTTTGTCATTCTGACTGTATACAATTTCGAAAAAATTACGAAATTAATTTTAAAGAAATTACGCCAAAATACTGATAAATTGTACAACACAAGTACTTTTTTGTTTGTTTTGATGAAAAAGCAAATACGCTTAAGAAAAAGAAATGATGTTTGACAGTGTAAGAACTAGGTGCCTGAACAAAAACGGTGACGAGGACCTGGAAAAACGAAAGATCTAATGGGAAGAACATAGCTCAATGCTCGCCTTTGAAAACTTCGTACCGTGACTTTCTCAACTATCCTCTGCAAAACAAAAAAATTTTGATTTGCGTGGTCTGTGGACAAAAAGCCCAAGAGAAAATTATGTAAGTTTTCATATGGAATGGAAGACGGCTCACATACGTTGTGTTGAAGTTGAAGTGAAGCGTCGCAAGAAACCATAAACACATTCAGCCATTCGCGAAATTCTAACTATTTAAATAAATATATTCATTTTTAATCGACATCTTCTGCCGCGTTGCAGTCTGCTAAAGGTCCTAAATGGCCCGTTGAAACAGTTTCAACCTTTGTCCAATATTCGCTCGACTAGAGTTGAACGGATCTTGGGCAAATGTTGAACGCAAAAAAGAAATCGTGCGGCGGCCTTTTCTTTTAAGGGCTTAAAAGATCTTACAAAGGCCTTACAAAGGAAACGTTGAATCGATGTTGAATGAAAGTTCAAACCGATTTAAATTTGATTCAACACGCTTTCAACGACTTTCAACATATTTTTACGTTTTCAACACTGTTGGAAAAACGCACCGAAAATTAGGTTCAATAAATTGTTGAATGCATGTTGAAGCAAATGTTAAAACCGTTTAATACTGATTGGCTGTCCGCAAACTTCGTAAGTATAAATTCAAACTCATTCAGTACAATTTCAGACTCATTCAGTATAGCTGCTTACTGAACAAGTTTGTTTTTGACTGAGCTGTCACATTACGGATTGATGATTGGACAATTTGTACTTCTTGAGTATAATAAGCATATTCAATTAGTTTAAAGTTGGCTGAGTGGCTAATTTTGTGCTAATTAGTTCATTTCATATTATTTTGGTGTTCCAAAAAGGTTTTGACCTTTGCTAGGTTTCACATTATGTCAAGTTACCACCCCCCATACATGACCTTGGCGACTGGCTAATGTGTTTTTGTCGTGTGCAAATTAGGCAGGAAAAATGCCAATTAGTTGAAGTGCCTTTCATGTAGGTTGAAGAGACTGGCAATATTTCCCACGCTATGTTCTTGATGGGGATGTGGAGTAACTTTATCAAAATCGTTTTCCTATCCAAAGTTTTTGTTCCCAGAGTAGGTGAGATTATTTGCTCTGTGTTTCAGGGAATAAGCGCTTTTATCAGCCTATATGCACAAAGCGGTTTGAGCATAGTTACGCAACTAAAAGGCAACATATGAAGTAGGAAGTCAGCAAGTACAAGATACAATAATATAATGCATCCAATCAACTCAGTG